GTAGTACGATATAAACTTATTATATCCATCCTGATACGAATATATCCGTCATAAATAAATGAAAAATAAAAAGTTTTATGGTTTGTCAGTACGTAAAATCGGTAAGGAGTAAAGCGAGTTAAATTTGTGAGAGAAACGTACCCGACTTAAGACACTCTTTTCGTGGTAGATGTCGGACCGTGTACAATGATGTCGCAGAGTCGCGTCAAGTTGCCGGTTACAGGGCACCGACAGAGGAGGCTAACGCACTCAACCGGGTTATCGGCATCGCCGGTGAGACACTGCAGTGTCTTCACAAAGTTTAGACCTAGTCAGACATAGTCCTAGGCAACGTCGGGGAAAAATCTCTAAACCCATAGCCTCCTTTTATCTCTCCCAAACAAAAAAGACTGTGAACCACTAAGGGACCTTGTGGCCCCTGTGTATAAGTACCATATTTTCTGCATGTTTTTCACGTAAAACGTACTATCCCGTGGAAAGTATATAGACGATGATATCGATGTAACGATTGCAAATCGAATGGGGCGCTAAGTTTCATTGAAGTTGATGACATTAAAAATACGAAACGAATGTAAACAAGCCGTATAAACCTTCAAATGACGTAAATGTATATGGTAAATAGACCGAGTCTTCACCACCGGAGACCCAACAACACACTCGGTGGTGAACTCTTAAAGCAGACAAAAATTCCTTTTCTACCAAGAATACAGGTAGAAGTTTCTGAGACTCAGGCTGACTGTCAAATTTGTAACAGTGTCGAGTGTCCTACCCATGGAACAGTTGGTTATTCTGTCTACAAATAAAGGTAAGTTCGGAACCAAACAGAATCACGTCCCCAGCCGTGTGGGCGCCGGGTGCCCGGCGTACGCCGGGAAATTCGGGAGACGAAGACCGAGGGAACTCAAATCTGTTTTAAATTCTTCCTTTATTTTATTTGTCATAACATCTCAATAAAAACGTTGTCATACAATCTAAATGTAATGTTTTTTAGCATTACCTGGTGATTTCAAAGAAAGCTCTCTGGAAAATGTTGACTTGTTCAACATGAAGCTAGAAGCTACCTTACAGTACACAGTTGATACTGAGTTCTGTCAGTTAAAGTGTTTCATAGTTAGCTTAGCTAAGCATCAACCTAGCACTGAAATATATGGATGTTATGTGACAGTATTTCTGAGAAAAAGTCAGCTGAAATGGTGGCATAGTTGCCACTGCTTTACGTGTTGACAGCATGTTTGAACGTATTTGCAGCAGTAAATGTGGCTGTTTGGCCACTGACGTTGCCATAACAACACCTGAATTTAAATGTGCAACCTCTTTTTGTGACAGATTTTTGCAAGAAATTATAATTCTTCTGAATGATATTCCTATTGACAGCTAGTTTCTATGTGAACTTTATGAGATGGACAGCCAGAGAGAATAAATGAAAAACAGTTGTGAAATACAAGACAAAAACAAGAATACAGTTTAAAAGGGGAGTGATTTGTAAAATATAAGAAAAATAAAATCTGTTTACAGTTCTGTTTCATATGGATGTTGAGAGATGTATCCATAGATCTCTTAATTTTGCTCTCAAAGTGCACCAGATTGATGCTTTTAACTTCATTATTTAAAAAAAAAAATCTTCCCGGGGGAGCATGCCCCCAGACCCTCCTAGCGGAGATGAGGACCCCCCCTAGAGGAAGTTAGGTCCACAGTGTTTACATGCTTATTTATACAATATATGTGCTCATGCTAACATCATAAGACAAAAGTCGGTTCCGTGTTGTGTGTAGTGAGAACGCGCTAGAGTGAGGCGGGCCCCCAAGCCAAAGCGCGCTTAGGGCCCCAAAAGTCTAGGGCCGGCCCTGCTTGGAAGTATACTTGCTTCGTTTCTGAAGGAAGTGACTTGGAAGTACGCGACTACCAAGCCAGCATCCTCGCGATTGAGAAACACCCTCTGTACTGCTGTGATTTCAAATTAAAAGCATTTAGCTGGCAAAACACAAGTTTACTTTTATTATGGATTTCTCACAGGAAATGCAGTGTTTGTCAGTGAGCTTGACACTGGCCAACATCGTTCATCCAAAAATGGGTCTAAAAATACATTTTTCAAATGTTGGCCGTGATTTGGATGGGTTTGACATATTCAGGTACAAATGAAAGAGTCAGGAGCCGCTGCAGTGACTATAAGAGGAGATGCAACCGACAGGCTGCACACCCCCATTTGTAACCCCTTTTATGCTATGCTAAGCTAACTGGCTAAAGGTTCATATTTCAAATACAGATATTGTATGAGAGTGGCATTGTTCTCATGTTACTCTCGCCAAGAAAGCAATTAAGAGTATTTCCCCGAATGTTGAACTATTGTCAATTTCTCTTGATAAAACTGTTGTAAAAGGGCTGTTTCAGTGTTTCCTTTTTAACATTGACATTATACAAATGAAGTCTATTGAAAAATAATTTGTGCTTGAATATTTCATAGAAATACGTTTTGGCGTTTCTGTGTCATGTGTTCTGAGAACAGTGAACATTCAAAAAGCATCATACTGAGATGTGTAATGTGTTGGCTGTGTCGTTTGCAGAAAATGGCAAAACTGGGTGTTTCTTGAGCACAGGCACATACATGCAAATGTGTTTATGTTTAACTGTGTCAGCAGGCATACATACCCTGTGTGTGTACGTGCACAAGTTTGTGCGAGTTAACTGTGTGTGTGTGTGTGTGTGTGTGTGTGAGTTGTATGTACTTGTGAAATAGCGAGGAGAGAGAGAGAGTGCGGGAGTGTGTCAGCATGTAAATTGAAAAGGCTTCATCTTTGCGGCTCTGCTCCCTGGCAGAAAGCGTGGGTCAGGCCATCGCTGTGAGGTGTGATTGATGGACGTGTTGCCGTGGTAACACGCTGTAAACAGGAGCGGGCTGTCAGTCTTTTTGCAGCTTGGCGGCTCTCTCTGCGATGTGCCATTGTCACACCAGATGTGCTGCTACTGATGAACAGGGACAGGGAGAGTGTTTACTGGGTGGGGGTTTGGGGGCTGCAAGTGCTTATTTAAATCATTTAGCTCATATTCCCCTCAGCCATTTCTTTCAATGTGTCTTCTCTTTTTTGCTCTTTACATGTCTTTGTCTTCATCTTTGGGTAGCTATGGACAGATCAATGTCCAACTGTCTGCTATACACAGTATATACTGACTGGATTTCGATATGAATTTGACTAATTTCCTCCAATTTGCCTAATCGTCCATGTGTCACATGAATTACTTTAGATATTTATGATGAGTACAGTTATCTGGCACCTTTTAATGACCACTGATTGGTCCGAGGAGGCTTAGCTTCACATTTACGAGAATTGTTAAAAATGTTAGGAAACATGCATAATGCACTCTCATGCAGAGAGAGATTAAAAGATTGGTGCCCCTCTCATGCCTGTATGCTACAAATAAAGTTAGCTTAGCATAGCACAAAGAATGGAAATGAAAAAAATATCCTGGCTCTCTCTTCCTAAATGTAAGAAAGTCATGCAAAAGTGTCATTATTTTTTTATGATTTAAAGGTAAAGGGTACAAAAACCAAGTGTACCAAAAAGTGTAAATTCAAAAATGTTTTGGGGGGTGTATTTATTTGAACATTTATTTTAAAAAGCGCAGTAACTGCATGCATTCAAAAATAAAATGTTTTGTTATTCTTACATACATTTGATATGAATTAAATACCAAGTTATTAAACAGGATAGAGAATATATGCTAGTTTTTTCCCCTTGTCTTTATGCTAAACTATCTTCATATGAAGCGTACTGTATATGACATGGGTATCAACTTTCTGAATAAACTCTCAGTAAGAGGGCAAATGTGTCTAATATCAAATAACTAATTTTAAGATACAATTATTATCAATTATCAATTCAGCAAAGTGTGTGTCAATAAAATGCGTATTATTTCAGTTAGTTTCCTCGCTTTCAGTAAACAGCTACAAGGTGTCATACAGTGATACTAAAGAGAAGGCTCGATGCTCTTTGTCTTCTGTCCACCCACTCCTCTGTATTGTCTTCCCTATTTCTCTAACCCTCTATCAATCTTCCTTTTCACACCTCCGTCTTTTTTGTTTCTTGCCACCTGTCCCTCACCAGGTGAGAGTGAGCATTAGCGCGGTGTGTCGCGGTGACCTCTCCATAAGCCTGGCGTCTCCAGCTGGCACTGTCTCACTGCTGTTGGACAGAAGGCCCAATGACGCGTCCACTGCCGGCCTGAAGAACTGGACCCTGATGACGGTGCACTGCTGGGGGGAGCAGCCACAGGGCCTCTGGACCTTTCAGGTGAGAGAGAAAAGGCACTTTCTCTGCTTCTAGATGTTGTGCTGTTTTTTATTTGAAGATGTTCAACTTTCATCAACAGGCAGAGCCTGAATCTACACTTTAGCTGCACGTTGTGTTTAGGGCTAGTTAGTAAATGTTAGCATACTAAACTAAGATGGTGGTGAACTGTTAAACATGATACATAAATATCACCAGTATTTCATTGTGAGCATGCTGATGTGTCTTAAATTGCATTATTGCAATCATACTGAAAAATATAGTTGTAATATAATTAGTACCCAGAAGGTGTACTCATAATGTTCAAAAAGTTGTGTGTGAAATGCTGGACACATCCCAATCTCAACGCTAAGGGTTAGGGTTCTAACAGCAGTTGTCGTTGCTCCAGTGAACACTGTACTAGACAAAAGTAAGTTAGGCAAGGCAAAGCAAAGCAAAGCAAGGCAAGGCAAGGCAAGGCATAATAGCTAAACACTGCTAAGTTAAGTACCTTTACACTGTTGTCTTATAGACGGAATCAGAATTGTTTGGGTTCATTCAGCAGTATGAACAGATTTGGTAACGCAAATACATTTCCAACCTCCTTCTCGAAAAAGTACAATTGATCGCCTCTTAAAGTTGTTACTCCAACTTGTAAAGTTGGGGCAAACAACCTGGGGAACAATGCTCCCTTTCTAACTTTCTACCCTCCTACTTCTGCTGTCCATTCTAACCATAGCCATCTTCCAATCGACCCTCATTTTGATCCAAACTACACATCTGTAAAGGATTGTGACGGCATTTTGGACGTTTGTAATATGTCTAGGTGACAAAATTAGTCCACAGTCAGACTAAGTGATAACTAACTCATCTAGCTAACAGAATGTACCAAAAACGTATCTTCCTGGTAAACTGCGCTAGTTTCCATACACTTTCCAGGAACCCCCCATTCTCTGGTGATATAGAAATGAATTGCTCTGCTTCACAGTGTCCCCTTCCAGTAGCTGCAATGTATAGAAGTTTAAAAATAGCCCAGCACAGTTCAGTTCATTTTGCCACAGCAGCGTGAATCATCCTCTACTTTCATCTGCGAGTTTCAGCCAAGCATGGCAATCTTCATTTTCCTCCCCGCACTCTTCTTTTTTTTTTTTCTCTCATAGATGTGCTGATGTTTGATATGGAGGAAGGAGCTAAAATGGAAGGGAAATTAAGACTGGAAGGTTAAGTAACCTTGGCCGGGTTTGACAGACACAATACTGCCGACGTCTGATTAGAATCCATACTCAGAGACTGTGGCGCGCTGAGGTCATTTACTGTATATACGTGTGGGTGGTAGCAGTAAAGGTGGGGGGGGGCTCTCTTTGTATGTGTGTGTGTGTATGTGTGCAAATAGGCTTCAATCCTTGTAAACAGTTAGAGGTTTACAGAGAAAAAGCTGTGAAGATGAAAGACACCCAACCCCTGTCCTCTATCACCTACCTCTTCCTGCAAACACACACACACACTTTTTTGCTCCATCTCTGTGTTTCTCCCACGTCCTCTCACAGATTTACTGTCCCCTCTGTGACCAATTACCTAGGCCCAGTATGTCGCAGAGACGGGGAGGAAACACTGTGGAGCTGAGCCACATAACGACAGTGCTGCTCATTACCGGAGGGCCGAGACGAGTCACTGTGATGCTCGCAGCACGAATTAGCACTCTAGTCTTACGTGCCGCATGCCTTAGCACTTCGCTAATCAGCACATACACACACACACACACACACACACACACACACACACACACACACACACACACACACACACACACACACACACACACACACACACACACACACACACACACACACACACACACACACACATACACACACACACTGATTGGTTTTATGGTGGTTGTCAACTTTACAACGGATTGGAAAGAATCACTTACACACAAAATCGCAATTGCATGTCAGCTGAAAATAAAACGTAGTGTAATAACACCTGAAGTCAACGCAAAGAGGGACATGGAGAAAGAATGAAACACACCTCAAATTGGAAACTCCTACGTTAAAATCACTCTTTTATTACAGATAGTGAGGATTAAATATCATGGCTCACCCAATCCAGTCCACAGCAAATAATGTTCAAGAAGGACTATTTATGCTACATTTTCTACAACAATATTATGACATATCAGAAAGCTTTTTATCCTTGAGGTCACAAACAAGATGATTAAAACTGCTAAAAAGTCAAAAGAAGCAGATTTTCGTGAAAATCAGTGTTTCTTCCACCTTGTTCAAAGCAAACCAAGATGCCGCTGACGTTTGCTCAATTTGTTTCTCTAAATATCTCTAGATTAAGACTTTGAGTAAAGTTTTATATGGATCCTTATAATCTGCAGGGGTCTTTTCCTTCCGAAACAAACAGACCAAGTAAACACAATTGGCAAAAACAGTGAGAAAAGGAGTTTAATGTGAAAATTATGTTCGTGAAGTACTAACATTTGCTCGGCTTGTTTCTCTAATTTCTGAATTTCTGATGCAAAGGTCCAATGTCTGTAATCGTTCATTCAGTTTAAAAAAAAGTATAGTTCTGAAAAGTGTATTCTGAAAATGTGGCTTAAAACTGGATACACAATATCCAAAGTCAAGTTTATGACAGCTTCTAGCAAACACCCGAACTCTGATGCATGCGCAAAGGCAATCCAAAGAAATTAAATGCAACAAAATAACCTACCGTTACCTGAATTGAAATTATAGATTCATTTTGTTTTTTTGAACATTTGGTATAATGTAAGTACACAACTCACAGTAAGTAACAAACCCTTGGTTGTTGTTAGTCCTTTACAAGTGGAAATGGTGCATATTATACCTTTACATCTTCAAATGATCCGTAGAGTGAAACAGAGGACGATCCAACAGAGACAGAGAACATACTGTACACTAATTGAAAAGGCGGAAGGAGGGATAGAAGAGAGGTGAAGGATAAACTATGAAATAGAAGTCCTGGGAAGAGACTTTAACTGGACTATCTGCTGGATCAGTGTTTAAAAACTCAAGGGCGGCAGCGGGGGGGGTGAGGATGAGGTGTCTGTGGAGAGTCTATATTGATTCGTCATGATGACAATTGTCAAGGAGAGCTGCAGTGCTGCTGCTGCTTCTGCTGCTGCTGCTGCTGGAATAAAAGCGAGACTGAAGAGAAAAGGGAGCGAGTGTTACGGCTCGAGGCTCGGCTGACCTTCCAGCACTGTGAAGGAGACGAGACGCTGGAAACACACTTTCTCTCTCTCTTTCTCCTCTATCTGCTCTCCACTGTGCTTGCTCTACCGCCATCTGTGGTGCTGTTTATCAGAGACAAAGTTGCAGGCAGTATTGCACAGTATAGAATATGCTCAATCCAGCAGTATACAGTATGGGTTCAAACCATTTGTTACCAATAAAACGTATTATTAACATTTATGATAACCACTAAGGATATATTCATAAGCAGATAAAAGGTAATGGATGTTATTTAAACCCTGTGTCCTTCATCTTCCTTCATCCGATCTCCTCCTCTTGCACACGCCCCCCTCTCATCTTCCATCTTTAAAGCATTTCTGACTTCATGCAGTGCAAAGATGTCAAATTCAATATGAAACAGTAAAATGTGACCTTTAAGCCATTAGTATTTATGGTCATGCTGTGTAATACTTAATACCAAATACTTAATCCAAGCAAAGGGTTTTTAGTTGTATTTGCTCAGAACACAATATGGGCCTTTTGACAGCCACATACCAAATAAACCAACAACTTGACTCACAATATCAATTAAAAATGATTGTATTGACTTACTGTACTACTCTCGCTAAGAAAAACATTTTCCATTCCACTGCGTACCAACGGCTGGCAATGCGGCAAAACTAAGTTAAGTTAAAATGACAGCAGCACTGATCAAGGTTTTCTCTAACTGTCCAAGTCCGTTCACATTTTATTTTTCCATTAACCAGTCTTTGAACACTGCCAGAGCCCATACTGTGTTCCCTTAGTGTTTACTTCCTGTCGTTGTTCTGTTGCTGATTTCTCTGACTTTAACCTGTCTTTTAACCTCTTTCCTTCTCTTGCGCTATTTTTCATTTCTTTACCCGGGACAGTCTAGCCATCATGAATCCAAAAAATGTTATTCAACTAACACGGTAATAAGCTATATATGCACTGTATATGTATATGACTAATGCTCTTCAAGAAGTTCAGTAACATCATCCCTTTCTTTTATCAGTGTGCCAATTATTTTTATAATCCACATTACAAACTGTAAGCAGTCCAAGCGGAATTATCTTTTGCTATTTATTCACGTAATGTTCATAGACTGTATATAAATGGACGTAGTGTCCGTGACGTCACCCATAGGATTTTGCAGAGTTGCCGAGAAGCCTAAAGTAGGCGGTGTCGGCCACTAACGGCTCGACAGTGACGTCAGAATCTAACTCCCGCCTGCTCCAGCCTGCTCCAAATAAGGGCAAAGAGGCGGAGCCGAGGCGGGACCTACTGCTGAAGCACAAGGCGGGGCTCCAAGCTCCCGATTTATTTGAGGCTACCAAGCTAGGCTAACACGCTCACAATTTGCAAGAGAATTAGCTATTGTTTGTTATTCTTAATGCTTGTCATTCACACGATAATAAAATAAAATAAGTACCGATACATAGCAAAACAATTGTGGTGATGTTCAAGCCTTGTTCAACGTAATTTCTTGAGCTAATACTACAGCGGGCTGCAGGCAAACCAAGTCCGCGTTTCGCTGCATTCCTTGATCTCCAGTTATAACGGCACCACTGGGATAATTGGGTCCCCTTTTAACATTTGCTCCCATTTAGCATTATGGACGTCATAGCCATAGACTATAAAAGTCTTACCCAAGGCTGAATGATAAACTAAACTGTATATATATATATATATATACGTTAATAACGCGTTAACGCTAAAACAAATTAACGCCACTAATTATTTTAACGCGATTAACGCATGTGTATTTTTTTTCCTCGGCCGCCCCGTAGTTTCAGAGCGCATCGAGTTTAAAATACCATCTACAAGCTGATGCTGACAGCCCCGCGCCTGCCGCCCGCTTGCGGCAGACCACACTTCCACGCTCACCGGCAGGCACCGACTGGCCATCGGGAGGACCGGGAGGGTGTGTGTATATGTGGCGTGAGCGAGAGAGAGAGAACGAGCACACCTTACGTGTATTGTTGTTGTTAGCATCTGGTGCTAGCTAGCTGCGCTAACGGATATAAGGAGCTGTTTCAATGAAAACAGAGGAGCAACATTTCGCCGACAACTGCGCCGAGCACTTCACTTTATGCGGGTAGCCAGACAGTGGGACATTATAGAAAAGTCAGCACACTTAACATAGGTAACATTAAGCTGTCTGTGGGTCTTTCCTGCTGTAATGATGCACATTTCCCCTCTGTGCGACTAATAAAAGGTGTTCTGATTCTGATTCACACTCAGCACTAGTGATGTGTCGGTCGCGAACGAGCCGGCTCCAAGAGCCGGCTCTTTTAAGTGAACGACGGGAGCCGGTTCGCGCCGCGAACGAGCCGGTTCTTCTTTTTTTTTGCGGAGGGATCTAGATCGGCATGAAGGCACATTATGCAATGTGCACATTATCCCGCTTATTACATGGCCACATTCTCAACAAAGTAACGGCATGACCCCAATATGAATTGAAATGCTTTTATGGATTTAGAAGATGATTTTATTGATTGCTAAAGAAAAATAGTCCGTTGTTACTGTTTGAACTAACGTAGCAACGGCAGGAACTGCTTCAATAAAACACTAG